CTGCATATATTCCACTTCGACGCGACACTTCCGTGTCCGCAACTCTGTCTCCCCATCCGATACGCAGAATCCGTCGCAAACACTGTTGATGGAGCCACTCGAGATATCTCACGTCCCACCGGTACATCGTCTACATTTCACTGCCGTATAGAAGAACCGACAGCACCATGGGTTTATACACCATCAGCTTCGTGGCGATGGTAAGCTGATGGTTGTTCCACACTCGGTACTCTAGCTTCCCGAATGCCGCCGCTGCCTTCGAGGCGCGGATACGCAGCTCACTGTGTAGCTGCTGGTCAGTCGACATCACACTCTTTAGCTGTAGCGGGAAGTGGTTTTCAATACTTCATCACTGATGCTGATTTGCGGCAATATTGAAGATTGCACTTCCGGTGAAAACTGAAAGAGACAAACAGTTTTGCTTGTGTTGATGGTGAGCCCGAATTTGGCTGCTGTCGAAGCCAGAGCACTAGTCATGTGCTGAAATTTATCCGCGCTGTGTGAAAACAACGCACAGTCGTCAGCAAACAGCACCATACGGATAGTTGTCTCACAGACTAGAGTTCTCGCACCGAAACGACGGATGTTCAGCAACGCACCATCAATACGGTGCTGCACACGAACACACGCGGCGTCAAAAGCACATCATTGCATGAACATATATATTAAACAGGGCAGGAGCTAAGACACAGCGTTGCTTCACACCAATGACAACTGCGAAGTCATCCGAGATCACTCAATTCAGCTGCACGCTCGCCCGCATACCACTGTGCAGATACACTATTAAACTTACGCGGGTGACCAAACTTACCCAACACCAGCCACAATGCCTCGCGGTTCACCTTATCAAATGCCTTGATGAAATTAACAAAAAGCGAGTACCACGACTGATGTCGTTCTCTGCACTTCTCCTGCAACTGACGGGCCGCAACACCATATCTAAAGTGCTGCGACCTGAACGGAATCTACACAGTACTTTCGCCACGTTAAGTTCCACAACCTGAGCAGGTTGAACAGGATTCGGGCAATCACCTTGCCCGCACAAGTTGGTACCACGATAATTCGTGCAACATTGCTTGCTCCCTTTGCACTTGTACTGTGGTAGCACAAGGGCATCCTTCAGCTCAGGATGCTCCTCCTGCTCCTCAAACCGTACGCGTTGCACCAAGTGGTGCAGCGCAGTATACAACGCGGGTCCGCCATGTTTCAATATTTCAGGCGAGATCCGGTCGGCACCTACGCACTTGCCGTTTCGCAACTGAGCAAGTGCTCTCTGCGTCTCATCCAGTGTCTTCCAGACTCGCCTTCACATCGTGCTGCTTCAGGCCGTTCAATGTGGGCCAGTCGATCTCCGAACGGGGTTTCAGGTGACAGTCAAAGTGTTTCCTCCAGATCTGCATTATGTCTGCAGTCTGTGTGCAGGTAGCTCCTGAACTACCATCGATCAGCGTCCTCAGCGGCCCTAATCTCCGTCCATACACCCCTTCAAGGAGTCAAAGAATTCCTTGTGTTGGCGACGTTCGGCGTAGCATTCCGTCTACTTCGCCTTCTCCGTCCACCATGCATTTTTAATGCGACGGAGCTCTCGGGTCAGTCGCCGTCAGTTTGCGAAACTGACTACTCTTTCCCAAGTCACTGGGGTCTGCTACATGTGCAGCAAATGCTGCAATCTTCTCCGACACCAATGCTCCAATCGTCACATTGTTCTCATCAAACCAGTCAGGCCGCTTACAGTTAGCGCGCCCGATGGTCTCCTCGGCAGCAGCTGTCACCTGGTCGCGAATGTGGTGTCACAGGTTGCCCACTGTCGCTATGCAGTCCCCATTACACAGGCATGCAGTCATCGCCTTCTCCAGCTCAACACTTTTCGCCACAGTACCGAGTCAGCGATTGTTAAATTTGTGCTGGTCCACGACGGGAGTGCAATATATAGATTTGGTTCGCACCATTTCATGATCAGCTCCACGCTCAGCCCTATGCGGTACACGTGTCATGCGCACTTCACGTTGTTGTACGATGACATAGTCGAGCAGGTGAACGTGACGACTCCGTCGGTGCTATATCACTGGCACTCAGTGCAAAGCGAGTGTTCGTGATCGTCAGGCCGTTTGTGGCACACAGTGAGAGCAGTTTGTCACCGTTCGCATTCGCTGAACCAATGCCATGCGCACCGATAACATCTGTCCACGCTGATGCATCACGCCCAACGCGCGCGTTGAAATCACCCAGCAGAAATAGTCGGTCGCTCCTCTGCACAAACCGTATCACGAAGGATAGCTGAGTGTAGAACTGATCACGCATGTCATCAGGATAACACATGGTCGGACCGTACGTGCTTATAAAGGTGGCAAACTTCCCTCTTCCGAGTCGTAGGCGAACAGTCATCAGTCGCGCGCTGATGCCTGTTGCTTCCCCCACGAGCTGGCCATGGAGGTGATCGTATGTTGCAAATCCGACCCCATGATCACGTGTTGCTGAGGCGGCTTTGCCCACCCAGTAAAATGTGTAGCCAGCATCTGCTTCATGTAACTTACCTTGCTCAGGTAGCCGAGTCTCACTGAGCGCCGCAATATCGATGTTGTAGCGCGCCAGTTCCACAACGACGAGTGCAGTGCGTCGCACGTGGCGCTCACTTGTTCCGGTCCAGTAGCGTGCGCACGTTCCAACACCCGACGCTGAGTGCTTTGCGCACCAACATACTATTGCATTAGTGGGCAGTCGCACGCGAGATGACTGATGTGCTTTGGAGGTTTGCTTGAGGGACTCCGCCCGGTGCTTTTGGCTCAATAGCCTGACCCAGAAGGCGGTGGGGAGCAGATCCAGCTCGGGAATGTGATTGCAGAGACGAATTGGGATCTGCTTGACGGCCGTCACACGCAACCTTTGAGGTACTGGAACGATTCATCTATGTTTTGCGACTGTAGTAGGATACACCTGCGACCAGGGCCAGACGCATGCGGGTTTTGGCGGCTTTGCACCAATTTGACCAGGGGTTGCGTGGCTTGAGGCGGGCAGTAGCAAAGTATTAAACACCCGGAGGTGCCCTCCCACCGTCAGAGACAATGCGTGGCGCTCGTGTTCTGCGACAATCGAGCTGTGAGCTTATAACCCATAGACCTGTTCTCCCATGGCTAGGTTTTACGGGAAGAGGGCCATCGCCCATTTCATATATATATATATATATATATATATATATATATATATATATATATATATATATATATACATATATATGGCGGCATCCGGGAAGTATGGAATAAGCACCTACTTACCGTTTACACGAAGCTGATGGTTTATTAGGCCGTCGTGACGTTTGTTCTTCTTTACGGCAACGCAGCGTGAACGATGTGCCGACAAGAGGTACGAGATCTTGAGCGGTTTCATTAACAGTGTCTACACCTCGGTTGGGGCGAAGAAGTTGCAGACACGGGCGCTTTGTGCCGAAGTGAATGTAGGCAGTGGACTGTAAACTTTTGCTGAAACACTTGAGGTGACTCGGTCAAGTATGGCGTATGGATTCGACGCGGGTACCGAAACAGCTGCTTTATGGCCAACTGAGTGCAGGGAAGCGGCATGTTGAGGAACCGACACCTCGTTATCAGGACGTGATCAAAGTGAGCCTATCACGTTCTGATGTTGACTGCAGGTCTTGGGAATCGAAGGCGATTTTTTTGGCGTTAATGATGGAATCTGACAACGAAGGCCGTTGCCGAGGTGTAAGGAATAGCCTTTGTATTTGCGGAGAAGAAGCGGCAGTTGCGGAAGCGACAGGCTCCGATGGGCTGTACTCCTTAGACGTCGTGCGCATGGTGCTTTAGCACCTGCGGTCGCGGATGCCTGGGTCCGGCAAGCCTAGCGAGCCACGAGCGGTATAAGCATCGAAACGACGACGGATGCTGCTGAGAAGGTAGGCAGAACCGGCGCAGCGTTTGTAGGTACCCTGCATTCGATTTACTAACCGTGTGCTTGTGTGCTGTGTTCCTTTATTTTAGGTGGTGGGTTTGCTGTTGTGTCTCCTTGCAAATATTTTTACCTCATCTTAACGTTTGACTGAACTTGCACGCGTTGCTTACGCTAAATGTATTTAAGTTCGCTAACATTTTCGCGTTTGTGGCATTAAGAAAATATATTTTATGATAGCTTGCCCTTATCGCGGATTTTTCGATCACCAATTTATTACATATGCACATTTAGCTTAGATTTATGTCAGCATTTTCGTATGCTTTATTCGATATATATTATTTGTGATTCTCGTTTCAAGTAATTAGCTGTTGTTTGACATCACCTGTGTGGCTGCACTTGATGTGCATGTTGACAAGGTGCCTACCTGTCTATTACCCACTACCTCGTCCATCTGGCTCTAGGAGACAATTGGTCGTTGCTAGAGGGGACGGGGTGCACGGTCTTTGTGGCCGTGTTAGGCTCGAAGAATGGTTCCATGCACTCAGTGTGGAGCGGACTACGGTCCAGCCACCGCCTTGTGTGCCCTTGATTCCCAAATACATCGTGCTTGTGTTTGCCTGTGAAGGAGTGTGGGCCGGCTCCGTTGATGAAACGTGGCTCCCATCCACATGCCTCCTGGTCTTATTCCTTCGGGTTTACACTGTATACGGGATGTGTGTTGGAGCTGTGGGTGGTGCAGCGCAAGCCACCCATGGTCCCTCTGTAGGCGCAGGCGTCCTGTGGCTGGCCACAGTGACAGGTAAATCCGGAACTATATATATATATATATATATATATATATATATATATATATATATATATATATATATATATATATATATATATATATATATATACATATATATATATATATATATATGTCGATGTGCCGCGTGGTTAACACTAACGTCACGGTAGGTGTGCTTCTGCCTTAGGGTCCTTGGAACTGGCCCAACATTTAAACTTCTCGCTCACGTTGCTTATTTCTGCTCACTCCTGTTTATGGTCTAAACTTCTCGAGTCGAACTCATTTTTGTACTGCATTTATTCTTCAACAGCCCAACTGTTTTACACAGTGAAGATATTTGATGATGGAAAGGTTCTGCAGATCGTCACCAACGACAGTGGACATGGGACGCATGTGGCCGCAATGGCTGCCGGCTACTTTCCTCCTCTTGCGCAATCGCATGTGTCCCCGCGGCCACTAATTGATAGAGGAACTACACGCAATGGGATTGCCCCGGGCGCTCAAATCGTGAGTATTAAGATATCCGACTCACGCTTGGGCTCCATGGAAACCGGAATAAGTCTGCTACGTGCCGTAAGTAAGGTGTTTGTTCTATGAAACGTTTACAGCTTTATTGGTCGATCTACTTTTGTGAGCGGTAATAAAATAACTTACCTTTCCACCCTTTTCTTACTTATGATCTTGGTTGGTTGTTTAAAGTTGACAATACCACCACTTGTCTCAACCCCTAATTTCGAGTTCGTTCTACATTCCTTATTTTTACCGTTTATTCGTATCACAGATTCGTTGGACTGTCGAGCTAAATTGCGATGTTGTCAACTACAGTTTTGGGGAGTACAGCGTTTGGCCAAATATCGGGTACGTTTCATTCCTTACCTTTGGATCAACGTAGCTAAATTTTATTTGGACTTAACCCATTCTACCTCTACTTGCTGCGAATTTCACTCTAGTGTCTTGTTTTTTTTTGAGATGGCTGACAGATTTTAACTACAGTCATCTCACACGTATTCAGTTTCTTTTCGGTATCTTCTGCACTGTTCTATTCAGCCAGTCATTTTTAGATGACTATTTCATTGTATATTTTGCTGCTTCGTGCGATGTACTTGACACTTAGCATCTAAACAACAGCGTTCCGCAACGAAGAATTAACGTTACTCAACACTATTAATACGCTACATTCACGATTGCGAGATGATGTATATTGTCGGCACTTCACCAACTTCTATACTACTATTAATATAAGCACATCGGAATTCACCGGGTCCTATTGTCCACGCCAGAAGCGCTATGCAAGCACAAGGACAGTAGTCTTTGAATGATATTTGCAGCAGATTAAATACCTAGCTTTATTGTGGGGACGAAGTTAGCTGTGAGAAGAAGGAGTGAGGTGACGATTCGCTTTGTAAAGTGCGAGTAGACTGTTGCTGAATTGCGTTCCCCGCATCTTGTGTAGTGAGCGCAGGCTATCTACTGCACGTAGAATTGGAATTCCACGCTGCACTCTACAGAGCTTGTTTACATGTTTGCAAGGCTTTTTAAGATTAATGGCGAATTTCGTCGCCAAGTCCTGTTGGGGTTTGAGTTTGTCTTCGCGGACAAATTTGACACAGTGATTTCGCTGTTTTAAGTAGGCATATTAGGCCTTCACATACGGATGGGCTTTATAAGCGCACCAGGTGTAATATACATATTTGCCAGTAAATTCGGTTGGTAGCCGCTTGCACGTACTGGTTTACATTCCAAAATTAAGCAGTTTATACGTGGTGAAGAAAAGCGTAACATACTTTTTGTTGACGTGCACCATGAGGGATTGATAAAAGTGACACCTCCATCACGGTTCCGGTATTGTGCATGACTAGTCAATATGATGGTAAATAAATTCCTTAATCTTCACAACTTTACCGTCCATGTTCCTATGGAGCCAGGTCTCTTGAATCATAATTACGCCTTGCTTCGACTCTTCACTACAGCAGATTGTGCTGTTTATCTCATCTGTTTTGCTCATAATTGATCGGATATTTGAGCTGAGTATAATGGGTATACTCATGCTCCGCAATGTTTTCTTCCCTAGAGTGACCATCCGTTCAGCACGATGCTTTCTAATAGAATTGTTCTGCTGTAGATTGTTCTTCTGTAGATTCGCTCCAGTTTATTTATTATGGCTTGACCGTTAAAAATGAAGCGTTCATTGTAGTAGAAATACAGGTTTCTTAAATTATCGCGAGTGTAGGTTATCATGACCTTGGTTGTTGTATGGTTTAGTGTAGCAAATCGGAAGCAAAAGTTGCCTAAAGTACGAAAGTTATTCCGCGGATGGAGCAGAAAAACACGAGCATGCTCGTGCTTCGGATACAATCTCAAGAAACTGGATCCTCCATTCTCTCTTACTAAGCACACCATCTGAATCTCCTCGCAACCTCTCGGAATATCGGCGCTGCATGGCTTGTTTCACGTCCGCCATGGTGATACTCCAAATGTCTTCTATTGGGTTCAGTGAAGGCGAATATGGCGCGAGTCACAATAGTCTCCCTGATTGGTAACGCTCCTCTTGGTACACACGTTCCAGATCCGTGTGGCATGGTGTGTTGTCACATATCAGCAGACACCAGTCAGTAACAGCGGTGCCGTTGGCAACAAGCATTTGTCGCAACCAGCGCGCACATCGTTCCCTGTTGTTACTCCCCCTTAAGGCGGTATATCCCAAAAGACCGTCTGCAGTCGTTGCGCCGATAAGATGCAGATTTTGTCCACGAGTGCTCGCTACGGTGCACTGCGCACGTTTGCCACGTGCTGAACGTCCCCTTGTACGAGCGCAAAACGAAGATACGCAAACCATCGCATCAAGTTAAAATCGCATCGCGATGAGATTTGTTTCTCCGCCACGTCGTTGTTTTACTGTGTCGTATCAGTCTGAGACTTGCCTCCGCGTACGAGAATAGTTTCCACTTTTGTGATATACTACGATTTATTGATGATAACAAGGGTTATTTGTCAATAAGTTCACAATCCCCTCAACAGCTGTGCATCTGAAGGACTCACTTCTCGTAGGTAGGGTGACTACTCGCGTGTAAGCTTCTACCCCTATAAATTGGAAACCCATAAGCTACAGTTCTTTATCGTCGAACGTGAGCTGCGTCCACAGGCTCGGGATGACGGGTTGTTCTGAACAAACGGAAGTGACATCGCAAGCTGGGGACTATCACGTAGAACAAGCAAGGCAACCAAAACGGAAGCACGATGTCACTGATCTGGAGAAGACTCATCGTCGGGTTTCCAAGTGAGTTATTGGAATGCGTAATATGCCAAATGAAAAGAAGCGGAAACACGGGTATTGCTGATTACCTGACAATCTGCTAATGATTACATTGTTCTGAGCTACCCAAATCATGTGCGCCGCTCTTTACTGTAGTTTAGCAATGATACCTAACTGAGATCATTCCTTGAAACTGGCCGAAAAGCATAACTGCCCGGAGTGTTGCGGAAATCTTTTTTCTTTTCGTGTGTGTCACCCCTGAAATGACCTACCAGATGCGATCTGTTTCGCAACAACACAACTCATGTTTGAGTATGGTTGGATGACGCACTCAGGCACTTACATGCCAATGTACAGCTCGCGCGAACTCACCTTGATTCGAATCGCAGACCTTTCGACATTGTGCTCAGTGAGCCTGCCGCACTCCGAAACGCACCGCGGCCCACACGCTCTCACCGCCCTCCGTTGTCACTAGCCCAAATTCCATGCCAGCCTATTCTAGACAACGGTATGCGTGAGCGACTTCATGTCATTATTCCCAATGACCAGTTCATTCGAACTCAGTCATGTTGGTGCCTAGCGATATACGGACAGTTCAGCGATGAGGTGCGTGGAAACACCGAGCAATCAAATTTCACGTAGAAATGCAAATGTCTGAAAGTTTACGTGTCAATCACCATGATCTCGTGGGACTGCTAAGCCCAGGTATAACGCCTATCATGTATGTAGCCTCACTGTAGCCAATCATGCCTGAATACAAGTGACGAGCGCGACTAGGCACCCGCCAAATCGCACGCAATCTGCTGCACACTCAAACGTTCTCTGGTAACCCATGTCGTAAACTCTTCTGATATGCTACCGGTTGATTTTGGATTGGTCACTCAAGGAGTAGCGCTTTGAGGCGTCGGCGCCCCGTTGGATGATATTTGGCTGCTCTAAGGACGATTCTGAAAGATGTATGGATGAAGCCTATTTCCTTAAGACTGAGTTTGAAAGCGTTATGGATGCAATTACTTGAGAGCAGGTATGGTTGCTCGGCCTCTGCACGTGTTCTCAACGCAATCCCTGTGCGAGCATAACCCGGCGGCCCAGATGGTTGAGTCCCCAGTTGGCTTGAAGTTTCACTGCCATTGGAATTCGCAAGCTGTGTAACTAGTCACAGCGTCGTCCTGTATTCGGGTCTCGCTGAGACAGTAGACATTAATGGCCCTAGTTTTTAATGTGCCATCACGGGTTGCCTTTGGTCGATTTTTGCTCAGCGTCCGAACGTTTTAAATTGCCTGCTTGATTTGGGAACGGGGCGCTAGAAATGACTTGTCAACTCGACTTTGCGCACCCTCGGACTTGAGCCCCTTTTCCGTACGGCGGGAATGTTCGCCCAAAGTGGCACGGTTTAGTAAACTCGAAAATTTAAGGTGAAGTCCCAGAATGGGTGGGTTGAATAAACGTTAATAAAGTGATTGAGCGGCAGTGCGGTGTAATATGGTTTGGCACTTTCAGCCGCCAGTACCTCCGCCGAGGAGATTAGTTCGAGTGAGTGAGAGCAGATTGAGCGACAGCGGGAGAGCGAGCGAAGAATTGTCGAGACATGGATCCATAGGTGCATGGTGCATGGATCTTCCCGGTACCCCAGACGGAGAGAGGGTTGACTTGGTGGACTTTACCCGGAGTCTTGAGTCATAAAAGACCTAACTCGCGAGGCAGCGGGGCGATTGACACATACCACTAACTGTTAGGTGCCGGCTATCCAGGAGAGAATAGAACTGTTTTTGAATAGGGACAAACTGCTTAGGTCCTCCAAAGGGCCCGAGCCCGAGCAGCAAGGAGGCCAAGTTTTTCTGAACTACCATACTCGTCACGAAGGCGGTTGACAGCCGGATGGCTCATGCACCTTCATACGAGCCGTTGGCATCGACATTGTTCATCCGCCCTCTGTTACATACTCACTTCTGTGACCAGAGGTGAGTGGTCAGTGACCCTACAGCCGGTCACATTCACTTTGATGCAGCTTCTTGCGAATTGTTATGGTATTTAATGAGTAACCAGGTGACTCGCCCAGAACCCCCACGCTCTAGAACGCTGCCGCTGATTGTCCACAACTGCTTATTCATTTCGTCTGCAAACAGCTGAGGCTTATTCACAATTACCTTCGCAAGGAAGACACTCCGTTATGCGCAACCTGGGGACGCGCCCGTTGGCGTACTGCTCCGCTGAAGCAACCAGAGGTCGGTTCACTTCCGGGATCAATACAGGTTTTCGGTACACTACTGTTGTCCTTTTTGATCTATCGGCGTTCCCACAAACTAATAGAGAATTTTTTGCCCCTTTTACTCTCCTTTGTAGCTGTCGTATAGTTCGGCTTACACCCCGCCTTTCTCATATTTTTTGCGTGTTTCACCTCTACGCGACTGCAGTGGTGATCCAGTTCACATGCTCCATCATATACTGCATAATTACCTGTGGTGGTGCACTTTCGGATTCACGTCACATCTTTCGAATCTGCTTTACTTCCGTTTTGGCTGATCTGTCAATGTGCTTCTGGAATTAAGACTGCGCGTTTTTCCATAACGTCCCGTTTTTACTGGTGCATCGTATACCGCTCTTGATGACGTACTTCCCTTTCGGTATGTTTGCTGTTTATGTATGCTGCTTTGCGACTGAAGATGTTGTCATTGTTCCCACATTTCAGTATGTCAGCCAACTAATTTTGGCTACGATCAAATTTTCAACTGCAAACATTCTATCCGCAACTAATTTTGCACCATACATCATCTTTTCCTTGACGTCTACCATAGCGCGAGCGGTGTCATTTTTATGAAACTGAATTTATCTGGTACGGATGATAAACTTTGTCACTCAGGTGTCATTTCAATTGACCATTCCTATCCGAAAAATCAATGTTTTGCCCTTTCCCACTCTTGTTGTTACTCAATGATGTGCACATTGGTTTTAAATGTTAAATTGGTTTCATGTTACTCGGTCTCCACTGTGTGCGATGATTCACCTTTTTACCCAATCCGACACAATTTCGTTGGTCTAAACAAGAGTTCGCCGTCTAAAGGGCTCAAGCCGGTCTTATACAACCTGTTTTTGTGCTCTTGTTTCAGACGCGTTTGTAAACATCTGAGCTCCATGGTCAACTCCTATGGTATCGTCATGGTAGCAAGCGGAGGAAACAATGGCCCTGGTTTGGGCACAGTGGGCTGTCCTGGCGGTGTGGTTGAAGGCTTGATCGGTAGTTGTTGGTCTTTGTTCAATTCTCGATGCTCTTACCCAAGTTATTTTCCCGCTCGGCTTCTATTCTATTTGCACACTGGCGTTGTGGTCTATGCCGATCTCTTCATTGATTATCTACCTCGTATGGGTCACTTTATACCGGCTGCATCACGACATTTACTTCATCAATCTGCTGGTCCGCGATGTCCCAATTTGTCGGTCAGGAAATATAAGTTGGCGGTATTGTTAATGTCATGTTCAGTGGTTTTGCATTGCACGTTCTCCTGTCTTGGGATAGACACACCCTTGGACGATGATGATGAATTACCGCATTAAAACCGAGGGTCAATTGGTACTGCAATCTTTTTGTGTGCCTGATTTTCATCATCGCCATTAGTCATACATAGATGGTTAGTGCTGTTACTGCCGTCACCCTATATAACCGCATATAGGGTAGGATATTGTCACATACTGAGCCATGATCAGAATTCATGCATTCTTCAGGTACACTGATTCAGTATCTTGGACCGATGCATTGTATGGTTGGAAACCTTTCTCACGATGCATTACCTTCAAATAAATTAGTGTCCTTTCGTTTCCGCTCATCTCATAGTTGGGTTTTGCCGACTTCTTAGTATGAACGCATCAGGTAGGAGTATCATTTGAGGCAACCAAATATACACCCTTACAATATTTACTGGTCCAGCAAGCGGTCGTACCATGGCAATGTGGTGTGGCCCACTTTCACTATAACGTCTTGCTTCCTATAAATGTTGGCAGTGCAGAATGACCACTGATAATCACTTTATCAATATTTGCAGGACGCAGTAGTTATATCTGTGATTAAGTGAGGTTCTTCGCAGCCAGTTTCCAAATCAGATAGTCGTCCACATGCCCGGAAAAGCAGTAGACTGCAGTTTCAGCCTGTTGGGCATCAGGAAACCATCAGGAAACCGGCTGCGAAGAATCTACTTAATTACATCAAAATCCCCTACTCATGAGTATATCTGTGATTACCACAGTAACCCTGAATACATTACTTTGTTTACTGCTCCTTCCTAATTCCTTCATATCACAACCGGCCATTTCTACGTTCGATAATAACTTGTTGATCTCTCACTTAGCCAACATCGTCAAGCGGGCATTAACAGCCAGTGCGTCTGTTTCGATTGGGGTCCACGTAAACGAAGAGAGCTATATCGTCGAAACGTTTCGGGTTCGACAATTGGCTGTCTAGCACAACCTGTACCGCTGGTGATAGACAATAGATCACTCATCACTTTACTCGACATCTTGGAATAAATTTGGAACCGATTTTGAAGTCATAATTTCCAATCTCTTGATAGGCAATCGGTTAATACATTTGTTCTACTACATAAAGACTTCAGGCGAAACCATCCTCACTCATCACCTTATCACAATCGAAGGAAACTGCAGGCTAGAACATTTATAACGAAGCATTTTTGAAGCGGAAAATTCAGGCTGCCTTTTGCGGCCAACTCCTTCACAGCCCAAAGAATTGCATTATATGAATTCCACGACGAAAATTTCTACTTACACCCTACAAATGAAACCACCGGTTAATACAAATGCTACCTTTAAACCACGGAAGCCAGCTGTACTAATTTGTTTGTTAGTATAATAATGTTCATTCGTATGGCGAAGCGTATGTGCTCAGTGCGACCTTTGTAACGATGCAAATCAGCTTGACTTTCGGCGATCGGGGTCTCACGACATTCAGTGAGTCACCGGCCTTTGTTGCTTATGAGTAGGTTGTGTAGCAGTGGAGCTAAGGTAACTGACTCAGTGATTCTCGCATTGCGTGCTCTGGCACTTGAATTTGGTACTAGTAGTTGACAGACGTCAGTTGGTGCTCGAAGGACGTCCAGTTTAGGTTCAACGGCGTCCTGTGTAGATAGATCGACGGTGTAGCCATGGTAACTCTTCTTCGGCGTCTCTTGGTTGATGTCTTCATGGGACACCTGGAAAACAGTCAGCTGCGTCCTCACATACAACACGTACATTCTTATAGTCGATACATAGATGACACCGTACTCGTTGTAGCTAATGCCGAACAAGCAGAACATTCATTTTACCCCGACGAACTTTTGGCACCATTACCCATCGCAACAATTTAGTCGTGAAAAAATCGTTATGCAGTATGCGTCTATTTACATGACGTACGTTAAACGAGCATAAAAATCAACGAAGTAGATGTTTAAAATGCCCACCGTCATTCCGTTTGCAGAGCAGCATTCGCCGGATGATATTGGCTAGAACATTTTGCAGATCCCACCATATTCGTTGGCGATTCTTCGTTTCCTTTATTCCAGACAAGTGGGTTTGGTTTTATAAACTCAACTTTTCAAGTACCCCCATAGGAAGAAATCCAGGGGGTTCAAATCCGGTGACCGTGCATGCCACTCCATTTGTCCTCTTCAACCGATCCAACTATGACTGAAGGTTTCGTTAAGATATTCACGTACCGTTCGTGCATAATGTGCAGGTGCACTATCCTGCTGCCACCAAACAGTACACAATAACCCTTCCGCCTGCAGCTGTGGAATGACGCAGGTTTGCAACATTTCTTTGTAGGAAGATGCTAAGAAATGAAACTCATAACTTCTGTTAAAAACAACTAACTCGTCACATTCTTGGATAAAATGGTGCGATGATTTTTTTAGCTTTTCAACCCAGCCAGTGCCGTGAGCTGTTGCCATGTTACACACGGGAAGCGTTGCATTGTCGTGGTTTCTTGGTTTCCCGAACATGCTGCTTATCTGCGCCATGCAGACGGAAAATTGCCTCAACCGTGAACATGATTGAATGTACGTCCATGGTATTCGAATACCAGCAAGAACATTCCAGGCGCTTCTCCGAATCGCATGGCTTCAAAACTTGGATCTGTAGGGCATGATACCTTCGGAATTCTCTTTCCTTTAATCTCCGATGCACAGAAGATCATGTGGTGTCACAATGTTGGTCGATTCTCCTAATGTTGAGATCACTATTTCGGGATACTTCAACAGTGCGCGCTGAAACCTTACCCGTGGCGGTACGAAGCCGCCCGGTTCGATTGTTGTTGCACACGCTCCCAGTTTTACCATCTTTCTTTACCAGTCGACGCACGTACCGGTCGTTAACGGGCCACATTGTGTGGTTGGTAGCGTTATAGCGGCGCGCAGTTTCTGTCACGTTCGATTATCACTCACTAAGGAGTCGCAGAAGGTTCACGCGCTGATCCATCGGTACGTCAAGGGACTGCGGTTGCAGATAACGATGGCACTGAAGTGTACACATTCTCCATTGCTAACACAGTGAATCACTGTCGCTAGCTTATTAACCTGCCTCAGAATGGTATGTCCATTGATCGTGCCAAGACCTATCCATAGGCTGCATCAGTGCAGCGAATGAATTTCCCATTCACGTCGTGCGGTGTGTTCTGTCGGTTTATCCATCGTCACAACGCCTGTCGGACGATGGCATGCTGGTCTGGCATTCCAACATCGGTGTGTGTCGGACTTGGTATGTTTATCCATCCTTCGTCAGAACCCCAGTACGGAGGATGCAGGCCTGCTGGCCTGGCGTTCTGCCATCACTGCAGCCCTTCATACACCTGTGATTGGGTGAGCGCAATTTTAGCAAACCAACATCTACCACTGGACCGTTGGCAATTTAGTGCGCTCCCGTATCACGGTAACGCGTGTAGGTGGTTCAACGAGCAACTGAGGGTCATCGGACTATTTTTGGACTACCTACGGTACTTACGGTTGTGAGTATTTCAGCCAACTTGGAGAAAAATGTCCACAATGACTGTTACGCATATTCAGCGCGATCGTGGCCTTAATGCTCATACTCCTGCCCTCTCAACCTAGGGCGCGGTTTCGAGCCTACTAGAGAACCGGACGACCCTCACAGTTTCCTAGCCCACGCGTGACTGGTGATGTTTGCACAGCAGCGAAGCGTCGGTACAGCGTACCGGCGTACTGGTTTTGCCTTTTTTGCCGCAAAACCTGGTCGCTAATGGTCGGAAACTACCCGATAGTTCAATTGCCCCATGTATGAAAACCCTTGCTAATCTATTGGGATAGTCAACCGAAAGAGCGGCCTCCTCGTGCTTCAGTTTGCTGAGGCTTCGGTTCTCAGGCGGCTGTTCCCTGTACCCTAGCCGAGTTTATCCCATTTCACCTTACATTACTCATGCCGGAAGCCACTTTGCTGTAGGCATGACGCCTTCCAGTGTCAGACTGAGTTCGACCACCATCGATTCACCAAAGATGTTACAAGTCTATTGTCTCTGTACGCAACCAAACAATTCCTTTTTGATATTTTGTAGTTTGGGGGTACTTCGTGTTTGCGTCCAGCTTGCTTCTTAGTGAATCACCATACTTTTTCCGCGGCACCGATTTCCGATCGGTTCACGTGACATAAAAGACTATTCGAGCACAATAGATCGGCTTAAGTTACATCGTGTAACGGGCCATCACGGACGAACACTTAATGCTAGCTTTTATTTTCATCAATTCGTCTCATGGCCATCGTCATTTAAGAGCATGCGCCAGAACAGCCGACGTACAAGGTATGTTTAGCTAGGCTTCAATGATCTATCGACCATCCTGCTCGGACCTCACTGCCGTCACTGCTCACTCAATCATTTTTAAGCACAATCCTTTATGGTCACTTTTTTGCGTGATTTAAACATTATCCAGTTAGCCATTCATCTTTTTCTCGTCGCCGGAAATGCGGCTCGTGCATTTATCCTTACTTGAAGTCTGGCTCCAAATCCGAGTGTTATGTCGTGATCCCAATATCTTATCTGCGTGATTCTCAGGGTGTCACACACCCCAACGTTTTGCGAACGCGATTTTGAAGTGAACACTGACTGTTGGCCACTCCGACAGCCGTCAAATGTTGAGTGACCTGAGACGATACCATCATTACGCCGGTACGCAGTTCCGACGCTTCGCTGCTGCGCAACCACCACCAGTCGTACGTAGATTATAGATACTGTGTGGATCTCCCGGTCCCTTGTGTATACTTGAATCCGCGCTCTCGGATTACTAGGCACGCTTGTGATCTTTTAGGCCGCGGGCCGGTGGACTGATTTTGAACCGCACCTTGAGCTTGTCCTACTTTAACTGTAAGCTCGGTTGGCATCTAGTTGAAGTACTTTACAACTGATATGAATGGTTCAGATTTGCAGCAGATTGGTATCAGGTTAAAGAAAAGGACTGATATCATAGGTAGTTTTGCGTGTCCACTGTTCGGGGTGGACGACAAGACAGCCGGCTCGTCCTCCGCTGAGTTGCGGCTGTCAACTGTTTGGTGAGATATCATTTATGTTTGTGATGTTAGCCGTATCTTCTGTACAGTGAGTTATGGCTTTGATTCCTGCCTATCAGTTCAGTTTTCTGTTTTGCACTTTTATCAGGTGTGGCTCCACTCGTTTTCCACGAAATGATGCGCTCCTTGTACAGCCATCCTCTTGGTTTCGACGACGAAACAACTGTTGAAGATTCTATCGATCCGTCACATCCATCGGATCCACCGACACTGACGTCTTCCGATATGCAGACATCTGAACGAACCGTCCTTCCACCCACCGCTTATACATGGGGCAGCCGGGGACCCGCAATGGACGGTTCTCTCGGGGTATGCGTAGCCGCTCCTGGTGCGGCGATCACCTCAGTGGCAGGATGGCAACTGCGACCATGTGCACTACTTAACGGGAGTTCCATGAGCTCACCGATAGTGGCCGGAAGTGTCGGTGTGTTGTCTGTCCTGTTTCTTGATACTGTTGCGGTTAAATTAGTTCTGTACGACTCCTGCTCTACCTAGTAATGTTACACTGGACACTGCCACGAATCAGGATATAGTCTTCAGCGGTATGGTTTACTAGATCGTCACATTACCTAACCAGATTTTTTTCTACCCCCACTACTGTGTCTGTGAAAGCAGAACAGGAACTAAGTAGCCTAAACGGATGTATGGACACAATCACCATGTAACAACGATTATGACTCTTAATTTATTCACGCAAGCCAATTGGCAGCAAGCACGCATTCGACCAATGAACGCTAAGTAGGCATATGATTCACAAGCAATCAATAACTATGAACAAGAGTAGGAAGTAATATGATTACACCACACTGTCTCCTCCTCTGTTTGTAATCACTTCATGTCAGTGTTTAAGCAGTTGCTTGCATAAGGTAGTAAAAAACATACACATGGAGCAGACATCACTTTGTGTTGCCCCTCAAAACATACTAATCGACAGGGCGACGCATCCGGTTTGACACTCGTAGTCTTTCTGCTGTTCGTGATGTTTCTGCAGTAGATGTAGTCGCTCATTTAGAAATAATTTGAGAAAGTAACATGTGCATACGTCTCGCATTAACTCGCGTTCCATCTGCTAGTTTGTATGTTCCTGGCGTATACACAGATTCCACTTGCGTAGGATGCCCGAACTTATTTTCCCCTTTCCGGGAACTGGGTAGTTTCACACGAACTAGGGTCCCTGGAGGGTACCTTCTTCCTATCCGTCTGTACTTGGATTGGTAATTAGCTCATCTTTCATATTCAGCAGGGTCCATAGTTTCTTCGACTTTACAGGCTGCATTTAGCCCACTATAGAAAGCTCTTATCGAACAGTATAGTATGGCAGTAACTCCGGTTGGATCCGAGTGACTAGGCACTCAGTAAGCAGATACTCCCTAAGTTTCACAAGGCTGGTATTTCCGGCAGTATGTTCACATATCCGGTCGAGTGTTATGACAATGTGCTCCGGTGGAGTGATTGGAAATCATGTTCACCTCATCTAAGTGGTCGTTCTCCCCTTCGTTTAATAGTAGAAGCCTGGAAAGTGCATCGGCCACCTGGTAGCACTACTCGGTATCTGATTTCGTAGTCGTAATTTAGTAGACGCGAGTGTCAGCGGCTTAGACGCACCGGAATCTAGTTCCATATCGAAACGAATATTTTTGCTATGCACTTCAAAAAACAATGCGAATATCTGGGCAAGGCAATTTAGGCTCTTTAATAGAACAAGAAATCGAACATTTATCTCTACAAATATCAAGTATTATCTGCTCAAGGTTGGTCGTTGAGGCCGAAAAGTTACTGGTAGAGGGATCAATACGTGTCTGGACTTACCGCAGTTCCGACACATTGCGTTTCTTTCCGGACTTACTTGACTCTGCGCGATGTTCAGCCTTTCCACAGCGGTAACACTTGTTCCCACTTGGGGATATCGTAGCAGATGGTGCCGAGTTCAAGCGGTCGATCTCAGTAGACGAAGGGTTGGAAAGAAAATTTTTACTTCGTTCACTAACTCCGACTTTCGCACGAGCTATGTCTTAGGCCCGATCCCACTAGAGCTTGTCACAGTCCTCCATTAACAGACTTTCTCTGATCCGAGAATTGGACAGGCGCGAAATCAGTTGCTGTATAAGCATCGTTTCTCCCAGCTTCTTGGGGACGCTGGCACAGTCACATTTTTGCATAGAACAAATGAGACGGGATATAAAGTTGTCCAAATGCTCGCCTGGTGTTTGATTCATCTGGATGAATTTGTAGCAGGAAGTGTATGTGTTCATACGTACTCCCTAATGCTTATCGAGAAGCAAGAATGTATCCTTCAGGGTTAATTTCTCGCGAAGATCCAGGGCATCAAATATACATCGACCTTCAAAACGGAGATGCAGCCGAAGGAGCTCCAAAGTATCCTGTGGCTTTAACAGCACTGATGTGTTCAGGATCGGCAAAACCGAAATGTAATCCGAGAAATTAATTTCCCAGTCCTCTCAACATTTTAATTTTACTGTTCTCCGTCGATGTCGCACTGTTCGAGTCGGGCCCAACCGCTGCGCCTCTGGATCGACATACCTAGGGCGCTTCACGCTTCTATCTCTGCTCCGAGATCGGGTCAGCATACCACTCCTCACTATCATCGAAAAATCGATCGATTTGCTAATGTACCTGTGCCACTCTGTGACACTCCTGCTAGTCGGCTCAGCGTCAGTAAGTCGCATCCGGCATCTTAGCCTCAACCTTGTGATATTAGCATATTGCCCAGAAAGAATTTTGTACAGCACTTCAATGCGAATCGCTCTACCATATGGACTAGAAACCTGTCGACCGCGAATAATTTTATAGCCATTCTCGTATCAGGTGGGAGCTATAAATGACTAATTTTGAGCTCAATCATTTGGTGTATACCAACCACTAACTTCTAGATCACCCTCGTTCTGCTTTGGGCTCTTCAGATAAACACAACCAAATGGGACTTAAACCAAAAACGTGGAGGATGTCGATTGAAACATTTACTCTTACGGCACCGGTTTCTGCAAGTGGCGGTTGGATATGAGCCTTAGCATTGACCGCATAAGTGATTAAATACCATTCTTCACTTGTTTAGATTGCGTGGTCATCGCCACTGTTGCATCTGGATGTTGAATTTCTCACCCTCTACACTTGCCTTGCCATCATTATTCTGTATTGCTGACAGCACCATGCTTCGGGGTTTTGAGCACTGTTGAACTGATTGACTATGATTGATTACTAATAATCAGTAATCGTCACAGCAGCTTACACGATAACTCGATTGGTGGCGGCTTGCAAAGGTATTCGTTGCTCTGGGGGCCAATCCTGTCCCATGCACTTTCATAACGTTTGTATTATGGCATCAGCAGTATGCCGGTACGCAGTATCCAAGCCTTGTTGCTCGGCAACCACCACCAGTCGCACATGGGCTAAGGATACTGCGAGAGTCGCCCGGTCTTCGACAAGTGTTAACGTAGAGAAATACCTACGAACGGCCGAGTGCGTTACTTTTTCTTGATCAGAAGACCAACTTTGGCTCTGTTGGTCGCACCAGCCTATCCGTGAAAGGCATACCAGCTATTCTCCTTTGAATTCTGTGGTCTCTCTGACTTGACTCGCTAGGCCGAATAGAGGCCTACGGGATGTTTCCTAAGTTCCCCTTGTCATGTGGAGTTTGCCAGGGTTGCCCAATGTTTCCCTTCTTCGTCAACTTTGCAATCGAAGTAATCATGGGTGTTTCTGTTCTTTCGGACTCTTCGGGTGTACAACTTCTCAGAAACGTAAAATATTTGTTCCCCTTCATCCATTTCTTCAAAACAGAAAGAAGACATAGGTTGCGATATGTCAATATTTCGGTTGCTCTCATCAGTCGCAAACACAATACAAGAAGAAACACAGACACATTTATATACATGGGAAAATATTGGCACACCAATGAAACTGTCAAAATCAAGACCAAGGCAACCTGATTGATTGCCTCAAGAGTTTCTGTGCACGTAACAAAGGTTGATACGCGCTAATTAGCAACGCCTCACTGATTGCCAACCTTATCGAGTTCCTGTTACGTAATAACACCTTGATCGCATTACTGGGGTTCACATGGTGACCAATTGTCAAGAGGTGTTTGGCGATAGATGATGACGGACTCCGATTCGTTTTGTGGGGCGTTCCGTTATGTTGCGCTATCATTTGTTCAACCCACTTTGGCAAGTGCTCAGCCACCCTGTGAGCCAACCGACGGTTAGTCTTGCCTATGTAAACATCATCGCAACTGCAGGTGCATTGATAAACCACATGAAAGTCCGAACTAACCGAAGGGTAGCTCTGACGGTCTTGAAGAACCAGTTTCCGGGTAGTGTGCATGAGGCGTAACTGGGCAGTCGTGTATGTGCGATTTAGTGCGGACCTGAGCTTGTGTCCTATATCATTTGTCACATAGTCCTCTTTAAACTGCAAAACCAAATAAACAGTTTTTTCTCTGCCGTTTGCACTGGCAGTCTCTTCTTGGGGGTTTGCTGTGCACTTGGATGAACTTTTGGGCATAACCATTCGATACTAAGGTCCTGTACAGAAACTTTTCTTCAGCTTCCAGCAATTCCGGACTACAAATTCGTCTAGCCCCGTAGAAAAGTGTCTTCACTAGACCGCGTTTGTATGCAACCGGGGCGAAACTGGAAAAGTGAAGGTACTGGCCCACTCCAGGTCACCTTGCGGTAAACGGTGCGCTGCAGTGTACCTCCATCCCGTCTCTTGAGTAGAATCAGATCTCTCAAATATTCCACAGGGAGGCCCGCATGCATGTTTTGACTCAGAATGAAATGACATCATCAACTGTTTCATGAAGGGGCAAGTTTGTGAATAGTAAATCCACGTCTATAGAGTACATGAGCTCCGAGCTCAATGAGGATTGTTCCAGTGTCTCCGCCAGTTCGAAAGAGTCTTTCAGGCAGTGTGTAGTCAGGAGTTTATGCACTGGGTCTAAGAGTTTCGCCAGCCACCGAGCAACATTATGATAGGGCGAGTTGCTCATACACATAATCGGACGCAGTGGGTTACCTGGTTTATGCAGTTTGGGTGCGCCCCTCATTCTTGGTGTGTGCGTCCCAGTCGGTTTCAGTTGCCTGTACTGCGACTCAGTGATGTAGTAGTGATGTAGCAAGAATATCTGGAGTTTCCTTGCTACCTGCTTCTCCACCAAGATGTTATTCTCCGGTGTCGTATCTCTCAGGAACTTACGTCTATCACCCAAAATATACTCCATTTTTGAAATGTAGTCATCTCTGTTCATTATTACAATGCCTGATCCTTTATCCGGCTGCAAGAAGATTACGTGTGTCATTTCTTTTAATTCTCTGATCGATGCATAGTGTTCAGCCTTCAGGCAACATCTCTGGCTTATCGGCATATTCAGAAATTGGTTAGCAGTATCCACCAATTTTGCCCGAA